CGCGGGGCGCTCCGCGTTGCCGGGGGATGCGATTGCGGCTGCACGGCGGGGGGGGCCGCGGCCCCGCGCGCCCCCCGGGGGGGGCGGAGGGGCCTCTCACCGTGCCTCACTGGGGAGCTGGGGCGGAGGCGCCGGGCCGGGGGGGCTCGGCTGTTCCAGCTCCCTCAGAGGGGCCGCGGCCGGCCGACCGCCGCCCGACTCGTTTCCAAGTCGCGCAGCAGGCACGGCCGTTAATACGTGTAGCGCAGCGGCAGTCCCGCCTTTTCCTCACGTAACCTGTATCCTCCTTCAGAACTTGTCAGGCAATGACAGAAGTGTTTGCCTTATGAAAGGAAAACAACAGCTCCCCTTCCTCGTCGAGGCTGTAGATAGGAAAACCTAGCAGTGCTCCGCCCGTCTTGTTCTTCTGTCTCAGAACAGAATAATTCCGTGATTTCGCCCTCTTATGATTTTGATACTGCCCTCTTTCGCCACCCCGCCTATCAAAAGACTTGCCTAAATTCCCCCGTAGTTCTGTGTGCTGTGGGATGACAAGCGTACCCCTCGGATTCATGGTTGCAAAACTTGTCCTTGACCACTCTGATGGATGTATTTTTGTCTGTGCAAAATAGCTACAGACTGTTGGAGTTCTGTTTGCTGGTCTAAATTTTGTCAAACCAACCGTTCTTTGTGCCTTTTTTTTTTAATCAAAGTGTATGTGATTGTCTCCTTGCTATGTTACATTTTTTTAAACGCAGCCAGATGGCAGTGAAACCATTGCTACACATGGCAGTACAAGTGAAAAACATTTTGAAGAATGCCCCAATCTGGGGCTTCTTTTATTGCTGTTCAGCACTTTCAGTCTTAATAGTATGCACTGTTTGAAGGAGAATGTGTATCTATCATAGACCTATGTGAAAAAGCTACTTAGAATATTTTACAACTTATGATGTAAGCCATCAACAAACTGAAGTTTATAAGAATTTAAGTTGTATCAAATGAATATCTAATTATAAATGGTTATTTATACAAGCAGAACTTTATAGATGTTACAACTGCATCCTGCATTATAGCGTAGAAAAGGACTAATTTTCTGAATAGCCTGGCTTGGTGAGGCAGGCTGGGTTCTAAACTGTGTCTAAGGTAGCCTGAAAGTCCATGAGTAATAGATAGGAGGACTCATCCAAATGTATTATCAAGGAGAAAGGTCTCAGCCAAGTGACGCTTTTTTCCTCTGATCTTTATAAGGAAGAAAAAAACCCAAAAACATGCTTGAAGTCTGGGCGAGTTTGCCTTGGTCCTGGGAATGCGCTGTTTGCTCTGTAGATAAAGTCAGTTGGTCAACATTCCGGCATTCTTGATTGCGTATTAGTGCTGCTCTCCATTGGGCATTTCCTCCTGACTTTGAAAAACAATAGTGAGAGAAAAAGAAATTATCTGCCTTTTACCTAGATTGAGAGTAGGAGTGGAGGCTGCTTTGTTGTCCACAGAAGGAAACATAGAGCTTCTTTCAGGGATAAGAACCCATAAAATTCTTCCCACTGAAGTTTTGGTGTCAGAATGAGGATTTTTATTAGAAGAAAGCTGTGGCTTTAAAAGAGAGATTGCTCACGGCAGTCTCACTTAGAACAGCTGTCTCTCTCACAGTGATTAAGGTCTGTAATTTAAAAGGCTGCTGTGAGGGTGTGTGTTTATAATGAAGCTCTATTTTTGATTTTGTGTTTTGCTATACAGTGTGGGGGCTGTGGAATTTTGCCATTGCTTTTTACTTTGTTCCAGAACAACCTTAGTGCTTATTTTGTTTGAAACTGAATTTCCTCTGATGAAATTCCAGCCATGGCGTGACTGTGTGTTATTGCTCTTGTTATTTGTGGGGAGTGTGAGCTAAAACTTGCTGTATTTGTTTGTTGTTGCAATGGCACAGCTACGTTTTCCACTTTTCCTAGCAGAGTCAAGGCCAGTGCAAGGTGTCCCCTCAGCAGCACTGGCCACGCAGCCTCGATGGGCTATGTACCTGCCAAGGGGCTGTGCCAGCCAGTTACCAGAATGAATAGATGTTTAAACAGCATTTTGATGTATGGTGAACTGCACTATTACAAAGCCTTGCTTTTCCTCACCTGTAACTTGAGGGCTGAGTCACTCATTTGGAAAACAGCTGCAGCACTTTAAGGGTTTATTGCCCCTTTCACAACAGTTACAATCTGGTAATAGGGGAGAGTGAGAAAGATGTAGGAGTGATCCTCAGTTACTTCATTGAAGTCCTATGATAGTCAAACTACCTGAAGGAGCAGCTTGAGGGAGACCACTGAACTTCAAGCTGAAGAGGCTGAGGGTTCCTCAAATTCTGTTCTCCCAGCTTTGCTGATAAATTGGGCACCTCTGCCAGAGGGGAGGTTACAAACAGGTATGGGGAGTTAAATGAGTCAGTAATAGCTGATGTAGCTGTTTGCCCCATATCTACATGTTACCTGTTGCCATGTCTGTTACTTGTAAACTACTAATCAGTTGCTGAAACTGTTTTTGCCTTAAAGAAGATCTTGAAATACCACATGGAATTGTAGAAAAAGAGGGAAAAGATAAGCAATGTCCAGATTTTCTGAGCATGAAGGGCAGCCTGTCGTATTTTGCCTAGCCAGGAAGGCTTATGGTAGGACTTCTCTGTCCTGGGTTCAGCTGGGATAGAGTTAATTTTTTTTTTACAGGAACCTGGGAGGTGGGGGGCATAGCCGGGGCAGCTGACCTGAACTGGCCAAGGAGCTATTCCATACCATGTGACATCATGCTCAGTATAGAAAGGGGGAGCGGGGCGGGGGGTGGGCTCTTCTTTTCGGTGGGGGAAGTGGCAGAGCGTCGGGTCCCAGGTGGTGAGCAGTTGCACTTTGCATCACGCTTTTTGTATACTTTTTCATTAGTACCGTTGTTGTTGTTGCAATTTCTTTGTGTTGTTCCAGTAAACTGCCTTTATCTCAACCCTCGAGGTTCCAGGTTTGTTTTTTTCCTCTCCTCCGTCTTCCCCCCTATCCCACCGGAGGGGGGCGGGAGGAGGGAGCAAGCGGCCGCGTGGTCCTTTGTTACCGGCTGGGCTGAAACCACGACATTCTCGAAGATGTGATGAAAATTGCAGAAGTTTTAAGAGTGGTAAAATTTACTATGCAAGTGGCTGGAGCTTTGTACTTTGTCATTATGATGATTAGGTGGAGAACTCCTTTGGGTGTGAAGTATGATAGTGGCATGCTCTTTGCACAATGTGGCTTGAGCAGCTGCAGCTATTTATCTTCTGAATGTGATGCCTTTTTGGTTAGGTAGCTTTTCTACTTGTACTGTTGAGTTGCTAATTTAAAAATAAAATTAACAGACAAACAACCCCCCCCCCCCAAACTAATCTCTGTTGGGGACTGAAAATCTAGTGAAAGGCATGTTGGAAGAATGCTGTTCTGGAGCAATAGGTGGGGACACTTATTACTGTTCCCTAGGGGTATATGATCAAGATGGGCAACTTGCCAGTGGTTGTAAAAAGATTTAGGGAAAATGTATTCTCTGAACTATGATGAAATGCCTTCTGTGATACCTGTTGGAGGCCCACTAACATTAGGAGGAAAAGGTAAGATTCACTGATGAGAGGAGCAGTAGTGGATCATTTTAACAGGCCCTTTGGCACAAGCTTAGCTGTGCAGGATGCCTAGGCTTTTGAAGAAGACTCAAAATATTCTTTGTTCTTGCTTCATAGCAACAGTATTTTCACACTTTAATGTCCCTGGTCACCTTATCTATGCTTGCTTTTATTGTGGCTGATCAAATCAACCCTAGATTATATAAACCTGCGGAGTTGGTAGTGTGATAAAAGCTGAAAATGTGCTAGACAGTTTTAGAGCCATATTTTTTCTAGAGATAGCAAACTTGTAATTAGAATTCAGTTACTAACATGGTGATTAAAATTCAGCAGTTGTTTTATGCATGATTTATATAAAAGAGGAAGTGTCTGTTACAGAGTGGGAAAGGAGGTGGGTGGACTAACAAAATTTTGCAATAGAAGTTGCAATTTAAGATAGTCCATAATTAATATGCTCTCCAAACTGGTCTTGCACACACTTCAGAAATCATAGTGAGGAACAAGAAATAGAAGCTCCAAGGAAACTGTTGTGTTGAAATTACTTGTGAATTTGTGGAAGTAACACTTTCAGGTAGTTAAGCACTGGTGCATCTAGAGTTTGTGCTGCTGGTTATAACATTGTTGGGTGGATACATTATCTAATTAATCACTGTAGTCAAAGCAAGGATTTTTACAGAGATATGTATGTTAGTACTTAGTTTTTGATTGTTGTTCATTTGGAAACGTACCTCTTGGGATTTATTGTTGCAATGCCCACAGCAATGTGTTTGTGAAAGAGAAATGCAAATAGTATTGAAAGTGCCATTGCTGGTTCATATTGTGCTCTCTTTTTGGATCTCCTTAGGTCCCCCAGATCAGTTTGGGTTGATGTTCCCCGTAGATTGAGAATTACAGTGCTTGGGAATATTTAGGAAACAATCCCCACTCATGTACATAATTGAAAGGCTTAATGTAGGTGTGCAGTTCCCCCAGCTCCTTCCACAGATTGTGATAAGAAACATACTTACAGAAGGCCTAAGCGGAGCCTCCCTAAAAACTCTTTTCTTTGCATTGGCTGCCTGGGTACCACATGCAGGTTATACCTGTTTGGTGTCTGAAGTGAGGTGGGAAAGATGGTGGCCGTTGCAGTTCTACAAAGGTGGAAGGACCTGACAGCATGTAATGAGCTCCTGTATCATTGCTAACATTGCTGTGAAGGATGAGGATAATCTCCCTGTTTTGCAGGTGTGGAATGTGAGGTTTGGTTTGCTCAGAGCTGTGC